ATACAATATATATATATATATATATATATATATCATGCATGTATCAGATATATGTTACTTAGTATAATGAACTTAATTAATTAATTTATTTATTTATTGTTTACTCAGAATCTTGTTCTAGATATTAAAATGTAATTCTTGGTCTGGATATGGTCTCAGCGTATGTTCTCTGAAAGGCTCAAATGGTGATAATTACCTCCAGCACAGGTGGCTACGATATCTTGACCATTGCAGACAATTCCACAGCTCTAAATAGCTACTTAGCCACTATACAAAGTGACTTAGTGACTGAATGCTGCAATAAATTCAGTATCTTCTATTTTTCAGCTCCCTTGGACCAGCAGGTCTTGGCCTTGGTCTTAGGGGGTCTGATATTGATCTCAGTCAACTGTGCAGAGAAAATGATGAGGATAAAGCAAGCCATTTGACTTCAACGTAGTGTACAAACACTGTGGTGCATTTAAAACATTGTTCTGTTCGAGTGCACTGTAAAAAAAAAATGTTTTGTCAAGTAACCGAAAAATGTGGTAATTGGATTTATTCAAAAATATGATTTAATATATCTGAATAGACCTGACTACACTAGGTCACACCAACAAAAGTAATTTTTAAAGGTCAGATGAGGTAGAAATAGCTCCTTATGATAACAGTTGCATATTTTTACAGCATATATTTGAGCTGTCAAACATAGCAACGTCTCCCTCATCCAGTGCACGAGTGAGTCTGGACAGGACTACTCATAATAAGCTGTTCAGCGGGGAATTTTTCAATGTGTGATTCCATATTTTGCAACTAGTAATAATGCCACTTTTTCTTTTTTTCCCCCACAGGAAGTGTGTGTATCTCACAGTCGGTGAAAATCCCCCGTGAGCCGAAACCAGGGGAGTTTGATAAGATAATTCATAGACTGGGAGAAAATCCGAATGCGAGGGTTGTTATTATATTTGCAAATGAGGACGATATAAGGTGAGTAGCTTTTCTTGTTTTTAAATGCATCTATCTTGTAGAATTATATAGTATAAGTTCTTTTATTGTAGCTACGGTGAAGCAGTTAAACTTATTTCTGCTATTAATTCATTTGTGCAGAGTTACAAAGTTAATAAAACAAACACCAAAATGGGTATTGCTTTCTAAAATAACATCTGAAATACACAACAAGGACTTTGCAGGGAGGTGAACAACTCATTTCCCTGACCTCTATTATAACACGTTTAATTTGCCCCATGGGAACGTCTGAACACCCCAGCACTGAGCACCTGGAGTACCTAATCAGAACTATTAGAACCCAGCTGTTCTCATGAAAATTGACAAAAAGCATTCACTTAAATGTGCTATTAGACATCCACTGAATAATAATCGTTTTAATTTGAAGGAATAATTATGGTCAAACTTTTTCAATTTGTTGCTTGCTTAAGCGTTCAGGATGACTGTTTAATCATGCTTCTCTAATTATTGTTTGTCAGTTGTTGTCCTTGAGTTCATAATGGCTTGTTTATCCATGTTCACATCGATGCACCTGTAATTCAGAAAGTATGCTTTTCTAATAAAAAACGTCTTGATAACATGAATATGAAATCAAAATTGACCCTGTGTACTTTAATACATATTCTTGAATTTATTGTGGATGCAAGTAATAACTTGTTTTAAGTTTCCTTTTCAGCTGATGTCACCTTGACCACGTAGATTGTTGATTAATATTAACTAATAGCCAAATAGATATTTGCATTTTTGTAGTTAATGCTTCATTTTGCAAGTAAAATGAGTTGTGAATGCCGTTTCATGTTTAATGTAGGTAAATAAATTGCAGTGAGGCTGTAGCTGCCAAAGATGTGGGCGAATTTTTATGCAGTTATTAAAAATATTGATAAGTTACTGGCATATAAGCCCAGAAAATGAATTCCACGGCTTACGGAAAGACACTGAGAGTGAAGGCGCTCTAAGTCTGTTTCTGTTTAAAAGACAGAAAATGATTTTGTGTGCGCTGCCTGAAACATACTTTATTGAGCCATTATTATCTTGGGGAAATGCTTTTGCTGTCAGTTGTGCATGACTAATTTTGACATCAATTGCTACCGTGCCTGACGGAGAATGCTTAGAAATTTCAGCGCTGGGCAGTGTCGATACTGACCTTTCAATAACATATTGATTTGCAGTTACTGTAAATGGAGAATCACCAAAGCACCACAGAATGCAGACAATAATTGCAAACAAGTAATTAGAGTTGATGTGACTCAGAGCCTGGGAGCAAAGCCTATATTCAACATTTTATGGAAACTGCCACTCATCTTTTAACAGGCGGCTACTGCAGGCGGCAAAAAAAGCCAATCAGACGGGTCACTTCCTGTGGGTGGGGTCAGATAGCTGGGGCTCGAAGATATCGCCAGTGCTTCACCAGGAGGAAATGGCCGAGGGAGCTGTCACCATCCTACCCAAGCGACAGAACATCAGAGGCAAGTGACAGATTAAATCCTCCAGTTGTCAGTGGCTGCTCTCATCCATTAGAGACCAGTTCTGAACTCGAGTGTGTTCTTAATGTTTTATGTCAACATTTTAGCTACTGGTGGTGAATTTAATAAGCGTAACAAGTTACGGTGCATGCATAGTGTTAAAAGAATAGTTCACTCAAAAACAAAAAATCCCCCAAATGCGCTTTTTTTTGGAACACAAAAAGACGACTTTGAAGTATCTTTATGCAGACAGGCCTGTTAAGTTCTTAAAAATGCACAGTTCCACAGTGGTCAGTGGTCAGTGTGTTTTTATTCCAAGTCTTCCTAAGCCATGTAAAGGTTTTTAATTTACAAGTAAACTCCACAGACTAGGCTTTTACTAAGTTTTATTTAACAGCCTGTGAAAAAAAAAGAAAAAAAAAAGAGATTTAATTCCACCCAAAAACGTTTTTTGTTTTATATATAAATAATTTAAAACAATAAAAAGCTAATTTACAACAAACATTGCATTTTAGTTTTTTTTTTCAATTATTATTTTTCCAAATAATGTGCTACACAACATCTTTGTATATTACTATTATTATTATTATTATTATTATTATTATTATTATTGTTAATAATAATAATAATAATAATAATAAATGTATTTAAACATTTTAAATACATTATATTTTTATTATAAATACATGCATTACACATTATTATTTTCATCATCATCATCATCATCATTATTATTATTATTATTATTATTACGAATACAAAGGTACGTTTTTTATTCAAACAGTATATTTGACAAAAAACGCAATGTTTTGTTGTAAATTAATTGTTAGATTTAGTATTTTGTTAAATCTGTTGTTAAATACAGCATAGAATAATACAATAAAATAATAAATAATTTTAAATATACACATTATTACAACAACAACAACTACTACTACTACTACTACTAAGAATTACATATATACAATAGTAATTTATTGTAGTGTAAATAATGTAATTATTTACATGATCAGGTGAGTGGTATTAAGTATCGATATGGTAGTTTTATTCTTTCCAGTTAATATCTATATTAATGTATTGTTCAGTTCTATATGTGTTCTATCTCATGACCAGAAATCATGATTTTTTTTATTTATTAAAATTGTTTGGTTCTTTTTGTAGCTTGACTGCTCCAAAATTATGAACTGTAACTAGGAACTGTTCTTCAAAAATTCTCCTTTTGTGTTCCACAGAAAAATGTCAACTAGTTTGAACTGACATGAGGATGAGCAAATGATGACATATTATTAATTTTTTTGTGTGAACTATTCATAGCAAAAATAGAAGATTCTTGGTGAGACGAAAATGATGTTAGATTCAAATGTTCTGTCAAATCATGTTGCTCTCTGAAGTTCACTGGCTGAGAGCTTTGACTCTGACAGAGCGCATTAAAGTGACACAGATCTCATCGATCTACCCTCAGGCTTTGATCGCTACTTCACCAGCCGCACACTCGAGAACAACCGGAGGAATATCTGGTTTGCGGAGTTCTGGGAGAACAATTTCAACTGCAAGCTCAGCCGCCATGCCTTGAAGAAGGGATCCGGCGTTAAGAAATGCACAAGTAAGAATCTCTCCCTCACCCTCTGGCAACACTCCATTTCCAGAGCACCATAAAAGAGAGAAAGTGAGCAAAAAGAGAAGCCAAATATATCGAAAAAGACTTGGCCTGCTGTTCTCAGATCACCTGAAATGGGCTTTTGTTTACACCAGAGTCTGATTAGTCATACCACAGCAAAGCTGTTCTACGCCTGATGTTTTCTGATGCACAGCAGCAGCATCCCTGCGCTAAGCACATGGAACCAATACAATCCAGCCAATTGGGTAAGAGATGATGATTTTAATTGATTCGAGGCTTCTCTCAGCCCCATCAGCTACGAGTCCAGCCTTGGTCAGAGCCCGTCCGTTTGGCTGTGGAGAAAGGTTGACTCCTAGCAACACATTTCAGGTTTCGTCCAATCAGTGCGGGTTGTGATCTTACGAGGAGGGGTTTCCGCAGGCAGACCTTCTCAAGGGTGGCTACAGTATCGCGTCTAATTCTCAGCATGTAGCCTAACAAGCATTACAGCGCTTACTGCACTGCACCAGTAAGCAGGGCAGGATATTAACCTCTCAGTTCAGTATCGGTGCGGTGACCTCCTACAGACGGCGGAAGTCAGATTATCTGCGACTGTGGCAAAGGGGCTCACTGTAACGTCTGCAGCGCGCTAAATGTCACCGTGCATAATCCCTGTCAGTGGGCTCGCTTGTAATGGCTGGCCTTTAGCATGCTGCAAGAAGTATCTGGCCTGAAACAAAATCCATCGCTCCGCCACAACATAATAAATAACTTTTTCTTTATGCTAATTGCTGCGCCCACGAGAAAATTCATCATTGTTACCTCACATTCTTGAATAGCCATTGGTGATTAAATGCGGTGCTTCTATTCACTTGATTAAAAAATATGGTAGGCTGTTTTTGCGTGCGTGAATGAGATGCAAAACATGCCACTCAGGACAGCTTTTACTTTCTTTTTTGGTAGTTTTGCAGTCAAATATATTTCTCACATACTTTTGCTACACCCAGGGGCTCACATCTGAAATGTTGGCAGCTTAATCTATCTTTTAAAAATGCCATCAAATGAAAAGTTAATTTACAACAAAACACTGCATTTCTATTTTTTTGTCAAATAAAAGTGCAGCATTACAGATTTTGTATATCGTCAGAATTAATACATGGAAGAAAAAATTATTGTTAAAATTATAATAACAATCATAGTAATTATTATTATCATGCATTTAATCATCATAAGTTAATATAATAACACATAATATTTCCTAGTATCCTCATGCAAAGACCTTTCCAATGTATTATTACACTGTAATTACATTTTTTTCAATCTATTGTTTACCCTTTTAAAGTTTATATATATATATATATATATATATATATATATACACTGAAAGACTGGAGTAATGGTTGGTGAAAATTTAGCTTTGATATCACAAGAATAAATTAAATCTTAAAATATAATAAAAATTTTAAATTGTAAAATTATTTTTACTAGGGATGCACCGATACCACTTTTTCCAGTACTCGCACGATACCGATACTTTTATTTTTGGTACTTACAGATACCGAGTACCTATACCAATATTTTTATTACATTTGTAAATTTTTTAAATATTGGTTACAGAAACCAAAAGAGTATGTATAACACTTTTTACATTTTTATAAAATATAATACACGTTATAGGCAGAAAAATGTACAGTGCAATAATTGCATAAATACAGAAATATTGTATGTTTTTGTGTGTAAGTAAATATGCATTATGTAAATTACAAACAAATACTCATGAGACCCAATGAGATACAGTTAATAAAAACAAAGGATAATTTATAATTAAACAATAAAACAATAATAATTTGTTAATTATAGTAATTATATATAGACAATGAATGAAGAACTCGCTACATACTACATATGCCTATTACTGTAACTATGTAGAGACTACAATTTATAAACTATAATTAACTAAAGACTAAAAGTTTACAAATGATTTAAAAGTCCTTTATAACTGTATACTTATAAATTATTATTATTGTTATTGCTGTTATTATTATTCTAATGAGTAACTTTCTCTTTATGCTAATTGCTTCGCCGACAATTCGTCATTGTTCTGACGAATGGCTTCTATTCGCTTGATATTAAAAAAAATATTGCAGGGTGTTTTTGTGTGCATGCATGAGATGCCCAACTCAGCACAGCCTTTTCTCTCTTTTATGGTAGTTCTGTGTTCAAATGTATTTCTTGCATGCTTTTGCTACAGCCAAGGGCTCACATCTGAAAACAGGAGAAGTGATGGTGTATGCGAGCAGAACTGCACATGTGCTGTCATCAGGCTTGATTATTCATGTAAAGAACAATTCGGCATTTGCCATGCACATTGTAGCAGATTTATAATGCCACATGGGAAATGAAAATGGTGTTAGACTGTTTACACAGCTCTATTAGAATCAGAATCAGAATCAGAATCAGAATGAGCTTTATTGCCAGGTATGTTTACACATACGAGGAATTTGTTTTCGTGACAGAAGCTTCCACAGTGTAACAGAATGACAGTGACAGAACAAAAAACACAGATAATAAAAAATAAAAAAAACAAATAAAAAAAAAATAGAACAGGTAAATAAGGAATAAAAATATACAAATCGACAATTGTATGTACAGGTATATAACAATAGACAGTTGTATGTACAGGTATATTATGTGCAAATTGAAATGTAGACTGAGTATGTGTGTTAGATAAATAAGTGTATGAGTGAATAAATAGTGTGTGTTCCACAGTTATTGTCAAGTGTTTGCCTGAATGGATTGCCTGAGGGAAGAAACTGTTCCTGTGTCTGGTCGTTCTGGTGCTCAGTGCTCTGTAGCGTCGACCAGATGGCAACAGTTCAAAGAGGGAGTGT